GATCTAGTGATTCGACTATGAGGAAATGAGGAACCTTTATTCGTCAAAAGACCCTTTGGCCTTTGGGGGCCCTGGTTGCCCTCCTCTTGTCAGTGAGTGCTCAGGGGCACAGAGTAGGCAAGGAACTCACAGTACCTACTCTACCCCCAGCAGCTCCCCTGGGCAGATCCGCAAGCACTGGGCCATGTCCTGGCACTTCTCTACCCACCAGCTCTCTTGAGTACAGCCCCGAAGGTTGCTGAGAGCAGGACCTCCACCTGTGCCCCTTGCAACACACCTGACCTGTCCCCCAAGGATGGTCATCCAGGGAGAGCCCTGGGGTCAGTCTTGAGGGAAGTTTTCATTCTGTCTGCCCATCCTCCTGACTCTTGCTCTCTTGCTGGTTACCCCAGGACAGAACAGCACGCGTGTGGGTGACATAGCAGAGGAACCTCAGAGGGCGGGGGAGGAGTGGCTATTTACCAACCAGTATGGAAGAATTAAGATATTCTAACACCTGACATTGTCAAACATTTTGACAACTGCTGCTGCCTACCTGTTGGCCGACAGCCCAAGCTGGTGGACAAAAGACCACCCTCGCCTGTCTCTCCCTCCCTGGGAGTCTCTAAGGCCACATTCACAGGGCAAGTGTACAAAGACCATGCCAGGCTTTATGAGCGTTAACAGATGCAAGATGAAGATATACAAAGTACACCGCCTATGGATGCCCCTTTTTGATCCCTTTCCCCACGAAAATGGAAGCATTTTGCTCCCTGGCTACCTGGCTGGGTAGGCACATGTGGGGTGATGGAGGGGGACTTCGGAGCTAGAGATCTGGGTACAAAGTTGGTAACACAGACCTGCCCAGATTCTAGTCTCACCCGCCACAAATGAAAAGGGTTGATTTTCTGGGCCATTTCTGCCACGGAGGACGGCACGTGTCCCTACCACCACCAGGACCCCTACAAGGACTTCCTCATCCTGGGTGAGGATCCCCACTACAGCTCCTCACAGCTCTCCAGCGAAGCACACAGCGATGTCTCCCTTCAGGCTAATCTCAGTCCCAGCACTTATGCGCTCTCACCCTCAGGGCTGGGCTGCCCATTCCGTCCCTGGCCACCCGCTCTGTCCTACTCTGCAGCGGGCTTGGGGCTCAGTCCTCCCACTCCAGGGCACACTTCTACAACACCTCCTGTGATATGATCCTGTCACCTCCTGTGATATGATCCTGCCCTTCTACACCCTGCCCCAGCCAGCAGAAGGGCTTCCAGGGCATTTAAACTAGGCTGGCTGAAAGTGTGCAGTGAGTGCTCGGCTCACTGTGCCCTCACCTGGGGCCAGATACCCAGCATCTCTGCATGTTCCCCCTTGACTGGGGGTGCCCTGGTCTTTCAAGCTCCCTCTGGCTGTTCTCTATCCGTCTGACTGTTCCCTGTTCCCTCTGACTGTTCTCTGTGCCTTGCGCTCCTCCCTCTGGCTTTCTGCCCACTCCTGTCTCCTGACTTCTCCCTGCTCCCTCTGCCGGTCCTTGTTCCCTCTGCATGGTCCCCATCTGACTCTTCCCTGGTCCCTCTGTTTACTGTTCCTTCTAAACGTTTCTTGTTCCTTTTCAGTGTTCCCTGGTCTCTTTCTGATGCCCCTGTTATTGCTTCCTCTGATTGTCCCTGGGTCCCTCAAACTGTTTCATGCCTCCTGTTTTTTCTTCCCTGACTCATCTGTGGTGCTCCTGTCCTGTGTTCCCTTCAACAGTTGTCCCTGTAGCTGATCCTTAGTCTGTGGCACCATTCTTCTGATTGTGCCCTAGTTCATCTGGCTGTTCCTTGGTCCAGATGAGCCTTTCTCTTTCCTTCTAGTTGACACAGACTGACTGCCCTTTGAGTCCTCTGAGTGCTCTCTAGTCCCAATTCTTCCCTGCTCCTTGGGCAGTCCCGGAATGCATTTCTAATACGCTCTCCCCTGATGCTTCTGTGTCTGGTCCGTGGACCACAGTTTGAGGAGCACTGGTCTACCTGGCTCCTAGCGTAGGCTCTTGACCACCAAAGTATACTACTTCTGTGGGCTCTGTGCCACAGCTGGATCCTGTACTTTCACTTCTCTGTCACTTACATTATGTCTATTGGCTGATTCCTCTGGCTGTTTCCTGGGCAGGGTGACCAACAGTCCCAGTTTGCCCAGGACTTTCCCTGTTTTAGCACTTAAGTCCCACATCCCAGGAAACCCCTGTCACCATATCCCAGGGAACTCCGGCTGTTCCCCAGCCCCTCCCTGGCTTCTGCAACTGTCCCTTAATCTCAGTGCCCGCTTCGTGGGGCCTTTGGCTGCTAACTAGCTTCAGGAACGGATACTATGCCTTCGGGCTGTTCTCTAGTCCCTCTGGCTGTTCCCCAGTCAGTCAGGCTGCTATCTAACACCAGATACTTTTAATGCCCACTTTGCCATTCCCTAGTTCTCTGTTTAGTCCCTGAGACCTCTAGTGGACACCCAGCGTCCAGCACAGCTTTGCTGTTCCCCGCCTTCAGCAACTGTTCCTTGTTCCACGTGGCCTCTAGTGCCCTCAGCTATTCCTCAGCCTTGGAGGCCCTCCTCTGTCTCTCCAACTGTCCCGTGGGTCTGTGCCTTCTGTGCCCCTCTACCTGTGCTACAGCCTCAGCAGCTGGTCCCTGCTTCCTCTGACTGCTACCCACTCTCAGGCTCATCTTTCCCATTTCTTGTTCTCCGGTACCTCTGCCTTTCCCCATCCCCTCAGCTTCTCCTCTAAACCCTAGTGCCTCGCGAAGTTGCTTGTCCCACACACCACCAAACCTTTTTGCTTTTTCCATTTTAGCCAAGTCTTCTGTTTCCTCATCCCTCTGGATGGTCCCTGTTCCCTCTAGCTGCTATCTGGTTCCTCTATCTCCTGGTCCCTCCTCCTATTTTAAGATCCCTCTGATTGTTCTCGGACCCTCTGGCTCTTCCTTGCTCCCCACTATTACCACTTCTCCAGGCCTGACCACTGTTTCTTGGTCTCTCTGCTGCTCCCTGGCCACTGGCTCATGTTTCTTGTTTCCTCCGTTTGTTCCACTGCACTCCCACCTGTCCCCTGGGCCCCTTGGCTATCCTCCATCTCCAGTAAGTGCACCATGGTCCCTCCAGCTGTTCCCTGTGGCTATTCTCCGTCCCTCTTTCTCTCATTGACCCTTCTGCCTGTTTTCCAGCTTCAGCCACTATTTCCTGGTCCACCTGGCTGCTCCTCATGCCTGGGGACATTTTTATTGGTTCTTTGGTATCTCTGCCCATTCCCTGCTCCTTGACATTTAATGAAAAAACCAAGAACCCAGCAAATAAATAAGTGAATAAATAAAATTCACCAGGGTCTTGGCCATTTCCATCTCTTCTTGCAAAGGGGCAGAGGTCTATGGTCGAGAAGGAAGACTTGAGTGGAGAAACGTGCCTTGCAGAGCCCAGAATCATTCGTCTAGAAATGCCCACACATCAGCTGGGCAAGAGGTCATGTGCAGAAGGACTGGGGAGGACCACACTGCTGTGGCCCCAGCCTGTGGGTCTGTGACTGATATGATGGAGCAGAGTCTAGACAAGGGCAATTTTCCAGAGTGGAAGTGCACTGCTGTTAGGCAGCAATTCATTTATCATTCAATGTCCCTATACCTTTGACTCGGAATATAATTTCAGTGACTTAGGCCCAAAGATTTAAGTGTAGGAATTTCACCACAGCAGTTTTAATCACAACAGAAAACCTGAAACCCCCTAAATGCAAATATCATGGATTGGTTAAGTTAATTATAGTTTATTCACAGGACACAATGCTATGCAGCACGTGTGTATGAAGAAAAATATTTACTGCCTAGAAAATTATGTTAAACTGCCAAGTTAAAAAGGAGACAACCAAATACTGTGATTCCATTTTTAAACTTGAGTTAGATAATGTATACGTGTATGGTATGTGTGTACCACAGCCCCACACGTATACCCACATACGTGCATGCATGCACACACAAAGAAAGGAAATATAGCTAAATGTTAACAATGGTTAACTTTGGGTAACGCTGGAATTACAAGTAATGCTTTATTCTCTCCTATTTGCTTACCTGGATTTTCTATCATTTTATTGTGAAATTATGAAATAATAAAAATAAAAATAATTTTTAAAAGTTTAAAATTATCTTCATGACCACATGACTCTGAGTCCCTGTGACAATGAGCCTGTCCCCAGAGGTGACAGCATCCACAGGATGGTCGGAAGGAGGGAGCTGTCTTGCAGAGTCTGGCTCTCTCATCATCTTCCTCTGTTTACAGAATCTCAAGGGGAACTTTTAGTGGGAAACTTGGTCTTGGCTGTAGTGTGGTGAGGGTGGAGGACACATTCAGGAGACCTGGTTCCACTCCACTGCTGTCACTCACAATCTGAGTGGCCAGGGCAAGTCACGTCCCTTCTCAGGCCTTTTTATTCATCTTTGAAAGGAGGAGGAAGAATTAGAAGGGCCCTAGAGACTGTGGTCACTCTACTACCCTGCCATCCTCTAAGTTGTGAAGAAAAGGGATTCTTCTGCCCTAGATCAGGACGGAGGAGGAATCAGCAAATCCCCAGAGACCGGGGGAAAGGAGGCTCTGGTGGGGTTCAGCTGAGCGTCTGCAAAGAGCCAACCGAGAGTGAAGAGTCTGTGCTGGGAGTCGGGGGTAGCATCTCCCTGGCTAGGGCCAGTGGCCACCCCCACCCCAACCTTACCCACAGACCCCCTGCAGGGAGCTGCCTCCCCCTCCCCCAGGTGTGGGGCTGACCCTCCCAGCCCACCTTTCCTCCATCAGCCATGTCACATTTTCCAGTGAAACACGCAGGGCTCTGGATGTGGGACATCAGCCACGCGGTGCTCACTCTCACAGGAGGATGGTGATCTGTGTCGGGGCAGTGTGTCTGGAATCTGTCGCCCCCTGCGACCCACCTGCCCCTGCCCTGAGGCCCTGGTGACAGACTGGGGCCATCTCACTGAATGAATTCCTGCCCCTGGAGTCCTCTCCCTTCTCACCTCACACAGACTGCCATGTGCCTCTGCAGTCAGGGCTGAGGACCACTGGGGAGAGCTCCGGTTAGCTGGCATGTCCCCACTGGGCCTCAGCCCTCCGGCTCTCTTGTTGACAACTCCGCTCTTCCCAGAAGCTTGCAGACAGGCGGGCACTTGTGGACTCAGCCAGAGCTGCTGGGGCCAGAAGGAAGATCCTGCAGCCTTCACTACGGGGTCTGGCCCAGGGACAACGCAGAGGCTCCAAGAAACCCTGGAAAGACAGTGTCCACATGGTCAGTCACTCCACATTCCCCCCACAAATCCTTCCCGGGAGCACCAACGGGTGGCTCTCTGTGCTGGATACTGTAGAAGAGAAAAGTTCAGAAAAACCAACACCAAGTATTAGCATAGAATATGGGAAAAACTAATGAGATTTGGTGTAAAATTAATAAGTGTTTGAATTCCAGCTCTTCTATGTTCTAGCTAGGAGGTCACTTTAGTATGAGTTTCTTCATCTTAAAATTGAGGATGAAAATACCTGTCTCATAGGATTGTTAAGAGTTAAATGAAGTGATGCTTCTAAAGCACTCACATTGGCACCTGGAACAACACATTCCATTAATATTAAATATTGCCATTATTACAAGGTGCAAGGCATATTTTATTAGGTACCTCATTTAATTTTCACACTCATCCTGTGAACTAGGTATTATTGTTATTATTATTCCCATTTACCATCAGATAGAGCTATTCAGAAATACTAGGAAATTTGCCCCAAGATCACTCAGATTGGGACAGAGATTCAAACCCAGGTATGCCTGGCTCCAAAGTGCATTTTCTTAACTACTGTGCTATATGGTATTCTATATATGACAGAGTCACAATAAATATTTATTATTGTGTCACAAATAATTATTTCTGTTTCTTGCTGCCTTCAAAATGCTCTGGCTGAGCGGTCACCATGTCACATGTGCATAAACCAACCTTTTGTATAATTCAGTGTACATTCTGGGAAACTTATAGAGCCCACCCTCGTCTGCCAAAGATGAAAACGTAAACTCATCACCCGCCACCTCCCCCTGAATTCCCATCTGGGCCCTGAAAACCAGCATGCCTGGACAGGCTCCTAAATCATTAATCAACACTGCTTGACAAAAACTGTGTCCCAAATGGTGCTATCAACTGGTTTCCATAGGCTCCTCAAATAATCACCAACACAGGTGACACACCCTCAATAGAAAACCAGCCATTGATCTGCTCAATGCCCCTTGGGGGCCAAATCTGACCTCCTACAGGACCCCATAACTCACAGCCTATATATAGAATCAGTGACTCCCAATAATAGACCTTCTGGTCCATCACATACCAACTCACACAGTCCTGCAATTATGGGTGTCCACAGGTACCAATCAATGACTCCTATAGGCCCCCCAAAACTTACTCCCAAAGACTTGCAATCCCAGGCTTGCAATTGATCATTCACAACCTCAGTGTCCCAATCAATAACTCTCAGGGATCAATCAGTGACTTCAGATACTTACATCTCCAATTCTTACAAAACCTCAAGAATTTCTACAGAGGTCCCAATCACTTATCCATAGATATCTCCAATGATTTTCCTTTAAGGATTCCCCAAGACTGTCACTCACTGCCCCAACATGAATGACATCTATAGGCCATGGATTATCTAATCCCATTGGACCTTAATTCATTGATCCTCCCCCACAGAAACCCCCCAGTCCTTGACTCCCAGAGGAACCCAATCAACCCCAAATCTGGTTTGGCATTTAATTTAAAGGATAAAAAGAAAACCTAAAACACTTCCGGAGAGAAACAACATGTTCTTTACAATGGAAAGGAATCACGATGGCACTAGACTTCTTATTTGCCAAAATAGGAGCCATGTTAGAAGAAAACATCTACAAATTATTGAGAGAACGTGACTGAAATCCAAGAATTTTAAAGCCGAGCTAGGGCTTATATTCTTCTGTCAGAGCAAAAGACAGACAATTTTAGACATAAAAGCATTTATACCACAATATGCCAATATCCCTATCTCAGGAGAATACTCAAAGGAATATCTAAACAATTATAAACTGAATAGTACAGAAACCCCAAAATCAGGGAAAGGAGTTTTGAGAAATGATCTTTGCAATTGATATATAGTTATATCTGAATAAAGAAAAATAATGCAATTGGGCATTTGGGAAAAGTATTATTATTACTATTACTAAGTGGAAAATTTAAAATACCCTGGGAAAATCTATTGAGAGAAATGAGGAGAAGGCAAATATAGCATCTCTATTACTAGAGTGAATATTATTTGGATCCAGCAACCGAGAAAATGTAGACAATCGTATTTGTAAAGAAGGTGAAGGCAACTACTGGCAAAAATTGATAAAAATAATCAAAATTCCAAACTATCAGTATTCCAAGATAATAAGAACCTAGAAGGGAATTAAGAGAAACGTGACCAAAGCAGCAAAATTAGGAAAAGAGAAAATGAAGAAATATCAACCAAGTAAAATAAATAGTAAACATAAAGTAACAGGAGACATGAAATAAAATATATTATAATTCAACTAAATTGAATGAGCTGAATTCTTCTATAAAAGATAAAGACTATAGGATTGGGTTAAAAAATAAAATACAGTTGCCACACATCTAAAAAAAGACAAAGATGTGAAATGAAGCATTGGACAGAAATATGCCGTGTTATTTATCATTCTTGCCGTTATAGTGAGCACTCAAGTCTTAGTTAGGAAATCTTTGCCTACTTCAGGGTCATAAAGATGTTTAATGTTTTCTTCTAAAAGTTTTATTGTTTTATCTTTCACATTTAGATCTACTGTCTTCCTGGGAAGGATTTTGGTGTGTGGTATGTGTTAGGGTCAAAATTCATTTCATTTCTTCCATATGGATATCAAGATGAGCCAGCACTACTTATGAAAAAGATTACCCCTTCTCCACTGCTCTGCAGTGTCACCTTGTGACCATATATGTGGGGGTTCATTCCCAAATTCTCTATTTCCATTGGTCTATTTGTCTATTCTTGGACCAGTACTACACTGTCTTAATTAATGTGCTTCATATTAAGTTTTGATATCTAGTAGAGTAAAAGATTATTAATTTGGACTACATTAAAATTAAGGACTTCTGGAGCTGCCCTGATGGCCTAGTGGTTAACGTTTGGCGCTCTCAGCACTTCAGTGGCCTGGGTTCAGTTTCCGGGCATGGAATCACACCACTCGTCTGTCAGTTCCCATGCTGTGGTGGTGGCTCAGATACAAGAACTAGAAGGACTTACAACTAGGATATACAACCAAGCACTGAGCCTTTGGGGAGGAAAAAAAAGAGGAAGATTGTCAATAGATGTTAGCTCAGGGTGAATCTTTTCCTGCAAAAAAAAAAATTAAGGACTTCTATTCATCAGAAGACAAAAATTAAGAGTGTAAAGGCCAATCCCACCGTGGGAGAAGATAAGTGCAGAACCTGTATCTGACAAACAATTCATCTCTCAAATATCTCGAGAATTCCTAAAAATCAATAAGACCAATAGAAAAAGAGCAAAAGGAACAGGCACTTCTCAAAGACGTCCAAGTGGCAAATAAGCATAGGAAATGATGCTCAACTTCATTAGTTAGCAAGGCACTATAATTAAACTACAATAAAATACTCTTCTGTATCCACCAGAAATGGCTAAAATGAAAAAGATACAAAATAACCAAGAGCTGGTGAGGATGTGAAGCAAGTGAAATTCATAAATTGTCTGGGCTTCCATCCTCACCCAGAGATAAAAAAGTGCCCTTCCAACTCCCTGCTAAGGTGATGTCAGAGGAGGCCTACTGGAGCTCTCACCAAGTCTTAGCAGTAACAAAGTCACCTCTGCCAACAGTGTCAGTGGACATCACATGGGAAGCAGTCATGAGGTGCCTATCCCCGTCCCAGCCAGGGTGGTATCAGCAGAGGCCTAGTGGGGAGCCTGAAGTCACACCATCACTGAGCAATGACAAGAAGCCCTGCCTCAAAAAGAGGCCAAGTGGAAAACCTGGAGTTCCATCCCCACCTGGCAGTAATGAGACGACATGTCCCTTCACCAAATGGAGCTCTGTCAAAGGAGGCCTCTTAAAACATGAGGGTTAAGGGGCCGGCCCTGTGGTCTAGTGGTTAAGCTCAGCACACTCTGCTTCCGCAGCCTGGGTTCAGTTCCCGGGTGCGGACCTACACCACTTGTCAGTGGCCATGCTGTGGTGGCGACCCACATGGAAAATAGAGGAAGATTGGCACAGATGTTAGCTCAGGGTGAATCTTCCTCAGCAAAAAAGACCCCAAAAAAGTGAGGGTTAAGTTCCAGAGCCTCATAATATAATACCCCAAATGTCCTGAACAATAAAAAATCAAGTGTCATACCAAGAACAAGGAAAATCTCAACTTGAATGAGAAAAGACAATGGACAAATGCCGACATTGAGATAACACAGATGTTGGAATTATCTGACGAGGATTTTAGAGCAGCCATCATAAAAATGCTTCATTGAGCAATTATGAAAAATGCTTAACACTAATGAGACAATAGAAAATCTCAGCAAAGAAATAGAGGATGTAAAGAAGAACCAAATGGAAATTTTAGAAGTGAAAAATATAGTAACTGAAACAAAAAACTCTATGGATGGGCTCAACAACAGAATGGAGAGAACAAAAGAAAAAATCAGAGTACTTGAAGACAGAATAGAAACAAACTAATGCGAACAACAACAGAGAGAGAAAATTAACTGAAAAAAAAAATGAACAGAGCCTCAGGGACATGTGAGACTATAACAAAAGACTTGACATTTGCGTCATTGGTGTCCTAGAGGATAGGAGAAGAGTGTGGGGCTGAAAAAAGTATTCGAAGAAATAATGGCTGAAACAATCACAAATTTGGCAAAAGACATCAACCTAGAGATTCAACAAGCTGAATGAAACCCAAACAGGATAAAACAACAACAATAACAAAAATCCATGCCAAGACACATCATGGTCAAACTTCTGAAAACTAAAGACAAAGAAAAAATCTTGAAAGCAACCAGAGAGAAATATGTAAAATACATAAAAGAAAAACAATTTGAATGACACAAATTTCCCATCAGAAACCAGAACGAAGTGGTACAACATTTTCTAAGTGCTGAAAGAAAAGAAGTGTCAACCCAGAATCCTATATCCGTAGAAAATGTCCTTCAGGAATGAAGGAGATATCAAGACATTCTCAGATAAAGAAAAATGAAGAAAAATT